GCAACCCAAACTGTATATTATAACCTATTAAATGAAAATAAATGTATAAGGATAAATGTTAAAAAAAGAAAACAATTCATCCTATAATATAATGGAAATATTATTTTTGTTATTAAGTACTTACCCACAATGCTGTCAAAAAATGCTCCCCGTAAATGCCAGTCATTCTTATCATTAAGAAAAGTGATCATATGGGAAAGAAGTACATCATTGGCTTTTTGTCGTCCAAAAAAAACACAAAGACGAGTTATCCCATTCTCCATTAAAGTCTGTTTAACAATATTTTCTGGATCACTTAATAAAGTGACCACTTTTTGCTGAACCATTTCATGCAAGGCCTGAAGCTCTGCAAGAGTAACACAGAAACAGATCAGATAAAATAAAGAATATATGTTCGCTATCATTCAACGCAATATGATATTTTTATTCAGTAATCTTTTCTTTTATCTTTGCTGAATTGTTAACATTTATGAAAATGTAATGAATTATGTATTTTAGCAAATTATGGGATGACATTATGAGTGACAAATGCAACGTACTAGGTTATAAGAGAAAAAGTGTAGTAGAGTCAGGTCTGCAACCCACCTTTCTTAAAACTGTATCATGTGATAAATCAAAGAGGGAATAAAACTTCGAAGCTAAGGGGAAATTTGAATATGCATTGATGTGGCATTCTCTCACACATTTTGAACTTGAGCTATAGGAATACTTTATAACATTTGGCTATCAGAACATTAAAAACACAAGATCAAGTCACTATTATTTTGCTCACAGCACAGTGTCTACATGAGCTGCAACATACAGAGTTCCTACACTGCCATCACCTTAAAACAATGTAATTACAGAAGAGATAGAAAACTTCTAAAAGTTGGGCATTTCAGCTTTTCAATCTTTAGATGGTCTCAGAAAAACATGTTATGACATGGTGATGTTATTGGTTGGGACATAGTTAAAATTTATCAGCTTATTTTGGGGCATTCTAAGAATGGGAATTGAAAATGAGAGATCTCTGGGAAGCTACACCATCTGGAAATCATTAAAAAAAAGGCTCAAAATCATACCCTGGAATTCAAGGAGTCAGTCTCCAAAAGTTCCTAGGATATGAGGTTAGGAAAGGTAGAATAATGGATAGTTGTTTAAAAAGAACATGAGTAGCAAGAGAGGAGGGTAAATTATCCTCCAACTAATGAAGTAACTTCCATTCAATTCAGAACTCCTTCCAAGTTAGCACTCACGCCTTATCTTGCATCAGATAATAATATCAGTTATATAGGCTTACAGTTTAAAGGGCTGTAAGGCATTTAAAGTCTATGCTATTGTTCAAGTTGGAATTAGTGTAATAGTGCTTGGAACACAGAATCTCAGCTTGATCAAAATCTCCAGTAGCACAATTCAATATTAAAATAATTGCATATTAATTCCTTTTACATATATACATTATAAGGTGACATGCAGAAAGTCTTGCTTGTGTATATAAATCCATATACTGTACATGAGATCCATACAGAATTTGAAAATGCTAAGCAGAAGATTGACCAACTTAAAATATGGTATTTATTTTCTGAGATAAACTGTGATTTAACAAAGGAACATTAAGATGTATTCCTACTGAGTGGATTATTAATTATACTACCTCACCATTCCTTTCTTTTACTTAAATGCTATAGATTATGGAAAATCTTTGGTATCTTTTTGTAATCAGAAATGTTCTGCCAGATACAGTGGAACTGCAACTTCCATAATTCCTAGCCAGCATATCTTGAAAATTTTAGAATGAGAAAGGTTATATTAAAAAAGCATAAAAAACAGAAATCCTTTCCTGTAGATATTTATCTGGAAATGTCATTAGGCTCATTATATACATCACACTTAAAAGGTAAGTCAGTCTAAGAAATACATTACCAGTATCATAATTTTCACTAGGATGTGTTGTATCATCTATTTCTTCACTGTTTGGTTCATTTTCCATGTTCAGAGTTTTCAATTGAACTAGGTCCAAAAATCTCAGAGCCGTTTCAGCCAACAATGCTATGTTCTCTGCAAAGATTAAAAGCAAAGTGTCACAGAATAAATATATGGAACTATATTAATCTTAGTCATAGAAGTCTAAAATAACTTTCATTTCATTCTCTCTCTCTCTCTCTCTCTCTCTCTCTCTCTCTCT